ACACGTTCTAGCTAATTTTTATTTTTGTTATCAATTACTTGAAAATTGTAGTTAAATTGATACGGGTAATGAAATTTTTACAGATAATGAAAGAAACGGTTTAAAACTGAATATATGCTATACTATGTATATATATACTTGATTATCAAGTTGATATACTATTAGTATAGTATTGCTATATCAAGAACCAAGTTCTAACAATTTCAAAGATATAGACATCTCATGCAGAATCGAATTTTTCAATAAGAAAACCTGTTAATGATACATGGAACAATTATCCTGATAATTCTTTGAATTCAATGTCTTTACTCGACAACATTATGCTATTTTATAATGGGACCAGTACATTAGTTGATGATCTTCTTGAAATATTGCCGAATCAAGGTTTGGAACTTCCCAAAGATTTAAGGAGAATTTTAAAAGCAACTGATAAAAGGCGACTTAAAGACAGGTTCTTGCTAATTTATATATATATTTTTAAACATTTAATTACTTGAGAATCGTATTAATATGATGCATTTATTGAAATTGATACAGATATTAAAATAAATAGTTAAAAACTGGGTATATGATATACTATATATATATATATATATATATATATATATATATATATATATATATATATATATATATATATATATATATATATATATATATATATATATATATATATATATATATATATATATATATATATATATATATATATATATATATATATATATATATATATATATATATATATATATATATATATATATATATATATATATATATATATATATATATATATTTATATATATTTATATATATAGAATATGTATATATATATATATATATATATATATATATATATATATATATATATATATATATATATATATATATATATATATATATATATATTAAGTATATACTTGACACTTGATATAGTATTTCAAGTATAATAATTGATATACTATATCAAGAACCAAGTTCTGACTGTTTTGAAAGACTTAGACATTGCAGAATCTCATGCATAGTCATATTTTTTAAAAGGAAAACCTATTAATAATACAGAAAGTTTATGCTGATAATTCAATATAATTCAATATCTTTAATTAACAACTTTTAGATTGTTCTATTCGAAATAATTGGACCAGTACATTAGTTAATGAACTTTTTGAAATATTACAATATCATGTTTTGAAACTTCGCTAATAACCAATTACTTAACTTTAGTAGTTAGTTATTAGTGAAGTTCAAAAGTTTTGACTAAAAAATAAGTCTAATTGAAAAAATTAAACCAGTCATAACAGTTATATAAGAGACAGGAGGGTAGAAAATTTCCTTTATTCTGAAGGAAATTTTCTACCCACCTGTCTCTTATATAACTGTATTAACATATGAATAGCCACTATATCGCGTGGTGGAATGTTATTGGCAATTTACTAAGTAACCAATGAGAAACACTCCTTAATTTCTCCTTTTTTTTATCATCTATGAAATTTTCTTAAAGTAAATGGATTATACTTACTATTAAAGAAATTATATTGTCAGTTGATTGATTGCAAACTTATAATTCTATTGTGTATATATATATATATATATATATATATATATATATATATATTATATATATATATATATATATATATATATATATATATATATATATATATATATATATATATATATATATATATATATATATATATATATATATATATATATATATATATATATATATATATATATATATATATATATATATATATATATATATGTATATATATATATATATATATATATATATATATATATATATATATATATATATGTATATATATATATATATATATATATATATATATATATATATATATATATATATATATATATATATATATATATATATACACACAACCCTTTGAATTAGGAAAAAAAAGGTTGACAATAATTTGTCGACATCAATCAAAAAAGCAAAAAAAAGTGATTCAAAAATCTAACCATTAAACATAGAAACAAGGTCAGCAAGTAATATGGTAATTTATAATAATTTTTCTGTTTTATTTAAAATTTATTGAAAAAAATAAGATTCTGTTTTCAATGTAGTTATTTTCTCCTTAATTCTGCTATTTTTTCTTTCAAAAAATTGACTTTCGTGACCAAATCTTTTTAAATAATAGAAAAATGTCTCCTTAAAATCCTTACTTATAGTATCAGTTTTAATAGTAAAAATTAGGGATGTACCGAAGCTGAAATTTTGCCGAAGCCGAAGCTTCGGCCGAAGCCACTTTGCCGAAGCCGAAGCTTCGGCCGAAGCCGAAGCTTCGGCACTATATATGCTTAAAATTATTCAGCATTCAGATCAGCAGGGGTGTAAAACAAAAAAGGTACCAAAATTAAGGTCCTTGACTAATAATATAGAAAAATTGTATAAAAATGAGGACGCCAGTCAGGGTTGCTGTTCCAGGCAGGGCAAAAGCTCTCAGCGCCCCTGTTTAAAAGTTTCTCATTATGTCGTTTCTGATACTTGACCGCATCGAGCGTTTTTTTTTTAAACTTAAGCTTTTTTGAAACATTCTCCCCAAATTTTCCTACTTCTAGTTCTACTTTTTCTGTGTGCAAACCATATTAATGTTATATAGCATTTTTTCATGTGCTGTATATTTTATTTTTATTTTTAATGCACCTTTTGTTAAATAGAAGTGGATAAAAATCTCTGAACATTACTAGAGTAAAATTATCTTTTGCACTTGATCACTCTTTCTTTAAATAAACACTCTTAACTGATCTAGTTGTATCTACAACATAAAAAATCTTAGAAACACACTTTATCTTTTTATTGCTATTTATTTCAATATCTTTTTTTTACTTCTCTGTATTCTTTAAACGAACAATTTCTAAACTAAAAAAAACCCAAGTTAAGACCATTTTGGATTCCACTACAACTGTTGTGCTCCTGCTGTTAAAAAAAAGTACAATTATAGATTTTTCTCTAACTTTTTTTTTACACACTTTTAAGTATTTTTTTTTTTAATTATTTTCAACTTTGTACTTTGAAATCTTAGTATTCATTCTTCTTCTGTCTCTATAATGGATAAATCTGCATCAGTATCTGAAATCAAATATTAACTATCTGTGATAAAAACTTCCAAAGTAATCTAACAACTCTGTAGAGTGAGCTTTAAATAAAATAATAAATAGAATACTTTATAAATTTTTTTATTAATAATTATATTATTATTTACTTTATATTTATAAATAAACAGGGACTGAGCAGGCTGATATTTATTTAATTTAAATTGTTTATTTAATTTAAATAAATTTTGATGATAAATATAAGAGTTCAAAGTAATCAAAGCTTCAACCTTTAATTTATTTGAAATAAAATTTAAAAGTCTTCATAATATCATAAGAAGAAACCAGAATATTAGTTTATATGTTTAATATATAAATTCAATTTAGAAGTATTCATAATATTAATAAAAGAGCAAGGATAGTTATTATCATTGTTTTTCTTTTTCTTTTAATTTATCAGTTTTTGTTGGTTTTTTTTTTTCTTTTTTTATTCTCCTCGTTAATATTTCATTTGCTTTTCTTCCTTTTTTGTTGTTGAGAACTTTTTGTTTTTTGTGTCACTCCATTGACTATTTTGTATCTATATAAGTGACACCTAGCCAATTTCTGTAAATTTACGATGAAAATTTGTAAATTTTTATTAATATGGTTAAATAAAATTTTAAAAAATTAAACATACACACAATTTAAAATAGTAGCAACGTATCGTTAATCTTCTTTAAAGAGAGATTACTAAGGTTTATCGGTCAAATGTTGAAACCAAATTTTGTTCTATTTGTGGTAATCCCACAATTAAATTA